CGTCAGTGTACCTGACTCGTCAGATTTGAACTGTGCTGAACTTTTCTCGTTCTGCAATTTCTGCTTTCATCCCGCGCACTGATGAAACGTCTTCAGAGAACCACAAGACGCTTTCCAGATTTGATTTTGAACGTCTCCTTATCCTCCTTGGTTAGCTCGAGACAGATTACTGTTAGCAACTGCACAGCAGAATTGGCAGCCATGGCTGAAGTCACGGAAGAAAGGAATGCGCTGCCACGAGGCAAGCAAAACTGAAAATGTGTTCTCTTTCGGGCACAACACACAGGACGGCGTGACTGGATAAACTGGACTTCTGGACTGTGAATAGGGGACTTGTAGAAAAAGTGTACTCCTTATAGGGGATTGCGCGGCAGGGTGAAGCTGATCAAAACTGAGTGGACTCCTGGACTCTGTATAGTGGATTTTGGACCAATGGACTCTATATAGGGTGCTGGACATCATATAGTGCATGGACTCTATACTGAGTCCTACATATATACACACACACGCACATATATACACACCCGCACATATATACACACACGCACGCACGCACGCACGCACGCACGCACACACGCACGCACGCACGCACACACACACACACACACACAGTTCTACAACTGTTGTTCACACCTGGGTTAGAAAATTATTCTGCTTTCAGGCAGGACACGAGCCTGGCAGCCTCTACTGGGATAATTGTAGAACACAGCCAGGGAAACAATCCACGTCCCCCTCACAATAGAGCTAGTTTCAACTCCACCATATCAATGATGAACAGGCGCTACCCAGACGCCCTACCCAACCTCCCTACCCAACCACCCTGCCCAACCACCCTGCCCAACCACCCTGCCCAACCACCCTGCCCAACCACCCTGCCCAACCACCCTGCCCAACCACCCTGCCCAACCACCCTGCCCAACCACCCTGCCCAACCACCCTACCCAACCACCCTGCCCAACCACCCTGCCCAACCACCCTGCCCAACCACCCTGCCCAACCACCCTACCCAACCACCCTGCCCAACCACCCTACCCAACCACCCTGTACAACCTCCACCACATCAATGATGACCAGGACGAAAGCTGCTGCTTACTTTCCTGACAATCAAATAACATTGTATGTTCTCTCTTCACTACCCACTGTTTCCTACTGGGGATGCAAGAACCCAGATTGAAAACTGTCTGCTGTCCGTTGCCGTGCCCTACTGGTGTTTTTAAAGTATTATTTGAGGATTTCCCAAAGACATAGTCTAAATCGAAGGGAGCTCCATCATAATGGGACGCTGTAGGGTGGAGGTAGCAAACAATGGATGGCTAATGAACAGCATAGTGCGTGAAAATATAAGAGCCATATGTTCCAGAATGGTCCTGTACTCAATAATACCTAGAGCCTCACAGTATGCAGCGTGTGTGAGATAAGAAGAAGAAAACTTACTTTTCCAATGCCGGCCACTTGAGATGCAGCATCGGTGGCTACAAGCAGAACACGGCGTGAGTTCTGCCTCCAGCCGACATTGCTCTACGCAATCACAGAAGAGAAACATTGTGTATCCAAATCTTGATATAGATTGGGGAAATCAGACACGTAATGTGCCCCGGGAATATTGATCCAGAAAAGGAAGAAATGAAAAGTTGTGCAATTTTGATTTTCCATCGTGCCTGAGATGCGCACGTGACTTAAAATAATAAAATAAGCTGCAGTGTGTGCCCAGCACTGACACAGTGATATGCACTGCAGACACACAGCACTAGTAAGTAGTAGTTAGTGGCAACCAGAGCTACATACCGTGCAGACAGCCGCCTGGACAATGGCATCCAGAGTGCCTTCCGGATGATCCAGGTTGCCGGAGATCACATCAGCTTGAACAGCACTCTGACAGCAACAAGAAGAACAAGAAGAACAGCAACAAAATTGAATGTTCCTTTAATCAAGCATTGCAAACCCTCCATGTGATGTGAATCTCACTCTATTATCTCTTATTGCAGGGGTGTCGGACACGGTACGGTCACTACGGTATTGACCGTCCCACTTTTTGCCCCAGGTACCCCATGAATGAATAAAATACACTGATCTGGGCTCTAAATTTCCAAAAATGTCGGCTCAGCCACTCCTCCCCACACGAGTAACTTGTACTACAGATGGCTGACAGTACCACACTAAAATACATTCCGACGCCCCTGTATCGGCCACAGGCCGTCGTGAGAATAGAGATTGGAAACAAAAACAGGGAGGAAGTGAGAAAGACCAGGGTGCAGCATTTGTGTTCGAGCCACATATTATTGAAAGCCAGTGTAGCTTAGCCAGTGGAGCATTCACACGGGGACAACACGGCATGCGAGAGGTATAGCACATCTCCTCAATGCCAACCAGATCATCAACATCCTAGCCCACTCTAAGTCACCGGATCTCACCACTCGATAAGCACATACCCCAAAGGCAATGGACAAAAACATCTTTACAGAGGTGTCATCGTTGTGTCCAACTCCGTGGAAATGATTTTAACGGCAATAATTACTGAGAAAACCAAACACCACTGAAGTACAGTGAAACCTGTCTAAGACGACCGACCGCTCAAGGGACCTTCAAAACATGGTCTCTGTTACCAGGTGGTCTCCTTATCCAGGGTCATTTGACTGGAAATAGCATCCCTTCGTCCTGGTTTTAGTGGTCTTTTAGGACAGGTGGTCGCCTTATCCGAGTGGTCGCCTTGACAGGTTTTTACTGTAATGTCTACTGGTTGAGCCAAGGACATGCATGCATGGAGGACACTTCCAAATACCCACGGCACTATCCAGCCCAAATACCACACTGTGACGCTGGCTTTTTTATTTATTTATTTATTTATTTTTTACTATGTTCACATAACCAGCTCGAAAAAAGGAAAGACAATGGTAAAGAGACTTGGACAAACTGACAAGTAATGATTACACTACCCAGCCCCAAACATCACACTGTGACGCTGGCTTACACTACCCAGCCCCAAACATCACACTGTGACGCTGGCTTACACTACCCAGCCCCAAACACCACACTGTGACGCTGGCTTACACTACCCAGCCCCAAACACCACACTGTGACGCTGGCTTACACTACCCAGCCCCAAACACCACACTGTAACGCTGGCTTACACTACCCAGCCCCAAACATCACACTGTGACGCTGGCTTACACTATCCAGCCCCAAACATCACACTGTGACGCTGGCTTACGCTACCCAGCCCCAAACACCACACTGTGACGCTGGCTTACATCAAATCGCGCTGCATCGTTGGTCAGCTGGAGGGAGTTGGCGAACGAGTAGGGAACCTTGCAATTCGGACACGGCGCCATCGCACTGCAGTACAAGACAGGTACCAAACACAGATAAAAAATGAAATACCCTTTTAACTATAATACCTGTACAAGTATGTGTTTGCAAAGAGAAGCTGGAAATTGGGGCCTGCCCGGTCTTGCTCAAGTGGAGCTCAGGTGTTCTGCGTGATACGACGATCTGGTCATAAAACACTCCAGAGCGTGGAAGCTTTTTTGGTAGCTGTGAGTGTAAAGCCAGGCGTGCACTTTGCTTTGAATAATGTGAAAACTGCACCATACACATGTTGCTGCGTAAAAAAAGTTGACTTCAACTTTCACTCCACCAACGCCGTGCACATTTTCCATGCGTTCCCATACCGCAGAGTGATGTTCAGATCAGGCTTTTAAGGCCTGAGCGATACCAGGGGCGTGCCTCGCTCACCTGTGGTGTGGTGAACGTGTACCAGAGTACATCTGCGGTGTGATGTGATGACCACTGTACCACCGGCAACCTCATAGTCACCACTTCGGTTATTTCGACTGTGCAGCACCTAGGACGGTGATGTGCTGGTGTGTGGTGACCACACACCAGCACATCCATACATGCATGTATACGAGCTACAGTCAGACCTCGCATAACCGAACACATCCGTTTTCCAAAACAATATCCGGATAGGCGAGGGAATCGGATAATCGAACACACATACAAGTACTGTATGCATGCATGCGGATATGTGAACATAGTAAAAAAAAAAAATGCCATATGCTGTAAATACATTGTAGGTAAACGGTGATGTTCTTCCGGATGGCGAGGGATCCGGATAAGCCGCGAGGTCTGACTGTACTTGCCTAGACACAGTAAACAGTATAGATGTACAATACACGTTGCCAAGGACATTGTTCGAAAGTTCAGTCCGCATGTTCGTGTTGTCTTTGTGTCTGGTCCTTCTTTGAAGGATATGTTGGTCCGATCGTCGAGTGCTGTACGTGTGTGTCCCCGTGAGAAGCAGCGATCGGAGGTGAAGAGAGGGAGAGGTCGACCAATGGAGTGTCGTGCATGTGATGCGAGTATGGTGGATAGTCAGTGTTTAGTCAAAGGTGTTGTCTATTGTATGTCTTGCACGTTGTGTGCGGAATTGTACGTTGGTGAGACCGAGCGGCCGGTGAGGGACCGATTCGCTGAGCACTACCGAGAGGCAAGGGCGATGGTGGCGAAGGCTCCCTGGGGCTTCCACTATCGTACCCAGCATCGAGAATCTTCAAAGTCTTCCAACTTTCTGCCCTTCCACCAGGCAAAGATTCTCGGCAGGGAGGCTTCGCTACCATCAAGGAAACTGCTTGAAGCTATCGAGATAAGGAAGCGCAAATGCTGTGTACGTGATGTGATAAGGCGCGCATGCGCGCCTGGGCTCGTGGCTGGTTTTGCATGCTTGCTGTGCTGGACTAGGTCCGAGAATGTGAGCTCTCTTTTCCTTGTCTTTCTGTTCCTTGATTATTACAATAACTGTACGAACCTGAGTAATGCTGTGTGTGGGCCCTTAGGGCCAGACATAACAATTGGCGACGAAGATGGCAGGACGCAACTCCAGATTAGAAATTTTCGAAACTGGGGATTTTGACGAGTATGCAGAGAGACTCAATTTTCATTTTCTGGCTAATGACATTGGCCAAGTTGCAGACGATGCAACCGAGACAGTACAGACAGCGGCAGACAAGAAAAAGTGCGCCGTGCTGATTAGTCAACTATCCGGTCAGGTTTATTCCACACTGAAGAATTTGTGCCTCCCAGATAAACCAGGGCAGAAGAAGTTCGAAGAGTTGCTGAAGCTCCTCTGTGATTATTTCAAGCCCAAGATTAGTGTAGTTGCTGCTACCTATCAATTTCAGAAAACCCTGCAGAAGGAGGGCGAGTCTGCGATCATGTTCGCGGCTCGATTGAAACGGGCAGCCATGGACTGCAAGTTTGAAGCTTATCTCGACAGGGCCTTGCGTGACCAGTTCATCACTGCGATCGGTTCTACCAGCACGACGAAGGAAATCCTGGCGAAGGCTGAGGAGACGACAACATTTCAGCAGGTTGTCGACATGGCCACGGCTCATGAGACAGCTTTCCGCGAGTCTGAGAAGTTTTCAACGCAGGTTCATGCAGTACGCGGAGAGCCGGGGCTCGCCGACAACGCCACGTTCAAATCTGACAAGCCCTGTTTCCGCTGTGACAAGCTGGGACATCGACCGGATGAGTGCCACTTCAAATCTGCGAAGTGTCGTGCTTGCGGCAAACTGGGACACATCGAACGAGCCTGCCTAAAGAAGAAAGCGGCCAGGTCCGTCAAGCATGTCGGGACAACATCAAACCCCGGTGAGCTTGTTCCTTGTAATGATTCTGTACCGATGTTGAATGTGAATGCCACCATGAGTGACAGAGCTGTAGCACCGTACACTACGCCTGTCGAGCTAAATGGGGTCCAGGTGCACTTGGAAATTGATACGGGTAGCACCGTCACACTGCTAGGAAAAAATGATTTTCTGAAATGCAATGGCTCCGTGTCTGAGCTGGTACCGTCCAGCATCACCCTATCTACATACACAGGAAATCCAATCAAATGTCTGGGTGAAATCGAAATGAAAATGGCTTTGGGTGGTGTAGAGGAGAATGTTCTGGTCAGAGTTACTGAATGTGATGGTCCGTCTCTCTTAGGCCGGGATGTCTTGTCCAGATTTACTTTGCCATGGAAATCTATATTCAAAGTGGGCACTGGCGGGCAATCCACTACCGATTTCGTTAAGAAATACCCGAATCTGTTTGACAACTCCACTGTGGGTACGGTGCAAGGGGTGCAAGTAAAGCTGCACGTGTCAGATGAACAACCGGTCTACAAACGAGCAAGACCAGTACCTCTAGCAATTCGACAGCGGTACATCGACGCGTTGAACAAACTCGAGGCTGATGGGGTGATTGAGAAAGTGACGCATTCCGAATGGGCCTCACCAACGGTACAAGTAGAAAAACCAGGAGGAGGATTACGGATTTGCGCAGATTACAGTGGGACTATTAACAAGCATTCAGAATGTGAACAGTACCCACTCCCCACCCTCGAGGAATTGTTGCACAAGTTGGGCCCGGGAGGGAAGTTTACCAAACTCGACTTGTCCCAAGCATACCACCAGCTAGAGGTAGCACCGGAAAGCAGGAAATACACCACCATCAACACAATTCAGGGCCTGTACCAGTACAAACGCTTACCGTTTGGTTTCCACAGTGCCGTATCCATTTTCCAAAGGGTAATGGAAGAAACCTTGGTTGCGCTACCAGGCAGCGGCGGGTACATTGATGATGTGCTGTGTACCGGGGAAAATGATGAAATCCATGAGGAAAACGTGGACCGGGTACTCCATCGACTGGATGAGAAAGGTTTCAAATTGAATCCGGAGAAATTCTGTTACATGGCTGAGGCACTCTCTTACTTAGGTCACACGATCAGTGGGCAGGGCGTCTCCCCTTCAACAGCCAGGATACAGGCACTGAAAATGGCCAAACCACCACAGAATGTTGCCGAATTGCAATCTTTCATCGGTTCTGCAAATTTCGTGCGGAAGTTTGTGCCTCATTTCGCAGAAATTGCAGCTCCTTTGTACGACCTCTTGAAAAAGGGTGGGAAATGGCACTGGGAGACCACTCACGAGCAAGCTTTTGGCAAATTGAAAGATGCTATGTGTTCAGAAGCCCTACTGGCACACTATGATTTACAAAGGCCAACAGTGTTGCAAGTGGATGCTTCGGGAGTGGGCCTTGGCGCAGTCCTACTGCAGAAGCAGGAGAATGGCGAATTACGACCGATCGCATTCATGTCGCGTAAGCTGACCCCAGCAGAGTCACGCTATGCTCAAATTGAAAGAGAAGCATTGGCTGTGGTGTTCGGAGTGACCAAATTTCGCCAGTACCTACTCGGTAGAGAGTTCATAGTGGTCACTGATCATCGGCCACTCTTGAAGTTACTGGGAAATCACGAGGATGTCCCCACTCTCGCCTCTAATCGAATCAAGAAATGGGCATTGCAACTGGCGGCATATGATTACGAAATGCAGTATCTCGCGGGGAAAGAAAACGTCCATGCGGATTTTCTCTCGCGACAACCAATGCAATCTGTGTCACCGAGCGAGGAGGAGACCGTCACGGTACAGGTCTTGCTTATCGAGAACGACTCAATAATCAAAGCAGCTGTGGTGAGAGCAGAATCGGCAAAGGATTCTGTATTGGCTAAAGTAATTCGCTATACGGTTAATGGGTGGCCTGCTGAAATTGAGGAAGACCTCAAGGCATATGCTAGCAAGAGAATGGAATTGTCTGTGGAGAATGATATCTTGTTATGGGACAACCGGGTGGTGATTCCTAACTCACTTCGAATGCTCTTGCTACGAGATCTGCATGCAGAGCATTTTGGCATGGTGAAAATGAAGCAAGTGGCCCGGCGCTACTTGTGGTGGCCCAATATTGACCAGGATATAGAATCTAAAGTCAATGCGTGTTTGCAATGCCAAGAGAATGCCAAATGCCCACCGGCAAAACCCGGTGTTTGGTCATGGCCGACGGGTCCATGGAAACGGATACACATTGATTTTGCCGGGCCATTTCTGGGAAAAATGTTCTTGGTGGTGGTAGATGCTTACTCTAAGTACTTGGATGTAATACCCATGGCTCATGCAACCAGTGCGACCACGATTTCTGCTTTACGCCATCTGTTTTCTGTGTTTGGTTTGCCTGAGCACTTGGTTACAGATAACGGCAGTCAGTTCACGAGTGCGGAATTCCAGGCGTTCCTGGATGGCAATGGCATTCTACACACAACAACGGCACCAGGTCATCCAGCAACTAATGGCCTCGCCGAACGCTACGTTGGCGTCTTCAAGCAGAAGATGAAAGAAATGTCGAATACTGGTGAACCACTCAACGTCAGGCTCGACCGGTTTCTCTTAGCGCATCGAACAACGCCGACCACCAGTGGGAAGACGCCGGCGGAGCTGTTAATGGGCCGGCAACCGAGAATCCGGCTCAGTGCATTGCGGCAGTCTGAGAGTCATCGGCAGGTCAAGGTGTACCAGGAGAGCTTGACTACGCCAAAGTTTAACACCGGTGACGCTGTGTTCGCCCTGAACTTTGGTCGTGGAGCAACTTGGGTACCAGCTACTGTAGTGCATGTCCACAGCCCTCACAGTTTCGGAGTACAGGTGGATGATGTCGTCTGGAAGCGCCATAGGGACCAACTACGACCGCGGGCGGTGCAGTTTGGCCAAGTACCCGTTTCGTCTTCTGCGGACCAGGCGGTCGCACAGCTGCCTACACCGACCAGTGACCCGCCGACAGTGCTAGATTCTCCTCTACCACTTCCGGACGCTAGCAGCAACAGTAGCACTGTCAGGCCGGATGATACGCTAGCACCAGCAGCAGACGCCGTTGGAGTCGAGACGGCTCCCAGTGTTGTTGCACCGGCACCCTTGCGTCGCTCCGACCGACATGTCTCCGCGCCCAAGCGCTTGATTGAGAACTGCTAAGTATCCGTACTATTGCCTTTGAGTATGTATTGCTTGTCCTGTTACTTTGATCTGATGCGGCCTGAGTGTAGGAAGTGGACATTTCTGGGCCAGATGAATATTCTACATGTAGGTCATGACGAACAGTCTTCACATAAGATTGTTTTCGTTTAATTCATTGAAACATTTGCATGGTTCCTTTTCCGATCTGATCTAATTCCCCAACGCTATGCAATATTGGCTGACTTTATCTGTCATTCCTACCTCGATCTATAGCTCAGCTCTCATGGACTATTCTGGAAGCTGCAGTAACTGTTATAAGTATATGTGTGCAATGTTTTTGAACTTTTTTGCTTTTGTATTATCTGGCCGTGTAGTGTCAACAGCTATATCTGTCGGCGCCAAATTTGAGTGCCTCTTTGCTTATGTTATAATTTTACCCCGGGAAAAATTCTTGGGGGGCGATTGCTGTGTACGTGATGTGATAAGGCGCGCATGCGCGCCTGGGCTCGTGGCTGGTTTTGCATGCTTGCTGTGCTGGACTAGGTCCGAGAATGTGAGCTCTCTTTTCCTTGTCTTTCTGTTCCTTGATTATTACAATAACTGTACGAACCTGAGTAATGCTGTGTGTGGGCCCTTAGGGCCAGACATAACAGCAAACCAGCAGTCAATTGCTATGACGGCTGGCGCCTAATTGACTGATTGGATGTCACCGGATCGTCACTGGAATCGACACCCATCTCCTCGAACTACCACTGGACTTTACCACCTGACACAGCACATACACATACTTTGCACATACACCGCTGTCATATACATGGATCGCCTTTAGCATTCCCACACTTGAAAGTGTTCTTGTACGTGCTGTGATAGTCTTACTAGTCTTCTTTCTTCTGTTTATGTCACCTTACAGGTGATGCTTGTAAACTTTAGTGTTCGTGTTAGTTTTCTTGCCAAATTGTGTCTGTGTGTATGTGTGAGTTTTCTCATCTTTCGTTTTGTTTAGGTCACCTTACAAGTGATGATTGTTTAGTTTGCTGGCCTTGCCAATTGTGTCACCACGATGTGTTAGTTCTAGAACATTCATTTGCCTGCATTATTCGTCTTTATATTTCGTAATTTGGCCTCCCCTTCCTCAATGCCCTGATGATGCCCAATGGGCGAAATATTGGCAGAGTTATTTATTTGGTGCAGCTGAGAGCCTGTTGCCGGAATGGCGGTGTTTTCAAGTGCAATAAAATAAAATAATAAATAAATTCGACGGGATTCGCGTACCGGGCAGGTCAAGAACAAGGAGTCGTACAACTCCCTGGTCAAATTTAAGATACATCATCATAATCATGCTAGTCTTTCTCATCGCACTCTGGCTCCCAAACCAAATTCAGCAACGACATTCCAAATGGGCCTCTGGAGTTTGAAGTTATCTCCCCACATGCTGGGAGTTGAACTCACAACTTAAATATCAGAAAGTCTATGCCCTGAGCACTTAAAAGGCAATCATGCAACCCAACGGCGACGGTGTAGATGAGCATCGCTATGTCGAGCTCATCCAACACTGGCGCATAGCCCTCATGGGGCACGTGGGGGGGGGGGGGGTACATGCACCCCCCCCCCCCCCCCCCCAAAGCATTTCGGCCTAGGTTCAGCATGCACCATGCACCAGCCATCCTACACATTATGCGGCCGTGCACCCCTCCCCCTCCTCCCCTCCTCCCCCCCCCCCCCCCCCCCCCCTAAAAGGGGACCAGCTACACCTCAGCAACAAGAGACCTCCAGGACCACCTGCTCACACATACGTTAAGCATGGACCATGGGTAGCCAGCCACTTTCACATTTACTAACTTACCTGACAGGGGTTTCAGCAACAAATGGCATTTTCGGCTTGTCCACAAACGAGCCGTATCCCAGACGATATCCGGTCGTCAGGTTGTTGATGCTGGCAGCTACAGGCAGCCATGAGCACAACACAAACAGCATACAGTGTGTCAACACGCAGTGAGTCGACACGCAGTGAGTCGACACGCAGTGGGTCAACACGCAGTGTGTCAACACGCAGTGTGTCAACACGCAGTGAGTCGACACGCAGTGGTTCAACACGCAGTGGGTCAACACGCAGTGGTTCAACACGCAGTGGGTCAACATGCAGTGGGTCAACACGCAGTGGGTCAACACGCAGTGGGTCAACACGCAGTGAGTCAACACGCAGTGAGTCAACACGCAGTGGGTCAACATGCAGTGGGTCAACATGCAGTGGGTCAACATGCAGTGAGTCAACATGCAGTGGGTCAACACGCAGTGAGTCGACATGCAGTGGGTCAACAGGCAGTGGGTCAACATGCAGTGGGCCTGCTATTTTGCCACACGTGTGGTGAGTGCTCGAAGCCAGCGGCCAAGCGCTTGAGAGAAATGTCAGCTGAAAGGTTTGGGAATGTCTCGTTTAGCTCGAGGATACGGTCCCTGAACCTTACTGTATACAGGGCTGGTTGTTATTCAAGTGTAGGGAAATGCAATTGCACCAAAGCAAACTTTACACATTGGCTGCGTCCAGTTAACGTGACTGCACAGCAGGCCACGTTGGCAAAGTCACGTACATGTTTAGGTGCAACACATGGCCATATTGTAGTACCGCTACAATATGTTGTGTATGCCATGTGTGTGTGTATGTGTGTGTGTGTGTGTGTGTGTGTGTGTGTGTGTGTGTGTGTGTGTGTGTGTGTGTGTGTGTGTGTGTGTGTGTGTGTGTGTGTGTGTGTGTGTGTGTGTGTGTGTGTGTCGTTGGTGGTGCATGCGGGTGATGTGGTTGTATGGAAAGGAGTCTTCGAATTAAGTTCCTCATGTCCAGTAGTGTTTCCGTCGTGTACTTTTAAGAGTAAACATATAGTCTTTTCTAACGTGGCCATGTCGTCAATTGTATGGAGACGCCATAGGGCGTGGAGCTGTAGAATACATCCAAGTTACAAGAGCATACACATCACTCACCGATGCTGGAGGCAAACTTCTTCATATTGTCCAGATCGTCTCGCATGGAGAACGAGTGATCCATCAAATAGTACACATCCAGCGGATAGTTCCTGGACGGCTTCACTTTGGCCTTGATGCTGACACTATCATCTATATACCAACCAGTACGCAAACAGGTACAAATCACAGGCAAAGACACAGTCCATATGAATACGCATATTTACTGGGATAGGCGCACACATCATGGGCAAAGGCATAATCCATGATAATCGGGATTAACCGCACGGCCAACTGCATAGTGAAGGCGACAAATAAGAGTCAGTGTTACCTGCTCCCAACCCTGCTGCGGGGTGTTCTCTTCAGCTCAAATGCAGGGCAAGATCTATGTAGCAATTGAAGCAAGCTACTAGTACTGCAATGTGCAGATCTCTGTTTGTCAGTGGACAGGGAGCAAGACAAGAAATTCCCTTCGGCTGGTCTTTGCAGCAAGATATCAAGATATGGATGAAGGACTGGTGTGACGCCCTCGTGTGGCATGCTAGTGTGATCTTGTTCTGTACCAGCTATGCCGGGTCCCTGAGCGGATGGAATTGCCCAGTCAAGTCTTTCTTTTCTGGCGGCAGGTCGGTGGAACACTCTTCCTCCGAACTGTCGTCAGGCACAATCTGCTGGTACTTTTGCTCACCTCACAAAGATTCACCTAGGGTTCCCTGTAACAAGGCCATGCCTGTTGGGACTCCCCTAGTCAAATAATAAATACTACTACTACTGCTACTACTACTAAGTCAGTACCAGCGGTTGGGCCACCCTAACATGGAGGAATGCCACCCAAACGTGTACATGTACCCAGAGAAAAACAGTTAGTGGATGAAAGTGGATGCGAAACTCAGCATTGCCATAACCCCAACTGGCTGTGACGTGGCACACTCAAGCCCTATCACCGGTGCAGTATGATACAGAAAGCAGCTAGCAGCCAGCGGTACTTACATGGTCTGAGGTTGACCGATACACGCTGTGGACGAACCTGCACTTCATTTGCGAACGCATCATCCTGCAGTGACACAGCGTACGTGTAGTGTTGTAAGCTATTCATAGTGTAGATACAGGGTGAGGGAGAGGGTGATGGGGGGGGGGGGGGGGGCAGGCATGTAGCGTGTAGCTTGAATAAGTCAGCATACCCTGGGTATCACACCAGCTAGCAGCGGGCATACGTGCTACATAGTCCAAATAGGCAAAATGGCGACTGCGAGGCTGCCGGTGGTACGTGGTCAAAATACCAAAGGTGTGGGAGCTACGACTCTAGGATGGGGGGGGGGGGGGATCTCATTGCCACAGCCAGCTTGTATAGCCGCAACAATTATGACTTTATGTCTTCTCTTCTGTTGTTCTTCTTCTTTTTATTCATTGGCAGAGAGGGTGGGAGTTGGAGGCGAAAAATGAAAAAGAAAACTGGTTAAACAATTCCGTATACCGACCATTCATGCATAATGTGCCCCCCCCCCCCCCCCCCACCCCATGTACACACTGAGTGAGTGACAGGCATGTGAAACAGTGCATATACAGTAAAACCTGTGTTTGCCGGATCCTGTACCAAGCGGAATCCTGTACCAAGCGGAATCCTGTACCAAGCGGAATCCCGGTGTATGGACCAGACTAATGATTATCATGCGCCAAAGTGCTGTGGATCTAACGTGCATCCCAGGATCAAAGCCGTCATACCCGGACAGTTTCTGCTACAGCAAGGGTGTGCGGTTAGGGCAGGTTGTACTCTACAGTCGACTCCTCATATAACGAACACCATTGTGCAGGGGAATTAGTTCTTTATAGCCTAAATTCGTTAATACAGAAATGCACTTACATTGTGGTTTCAAACTGGGACATGGACGTTGGTTCACTATATCAGGAAATTCGCTATATGCGAGTTTGTTATAAGTGCAGTCGACTGTATAGTGCTGCAGTTGTCTTGTCATGACTTACCTTAGTGATCATGACTGCACTGGCCGGGTTTAGAATCGACGTACACGGCTTGGCTGCGCTGAACGATGACTGACAGCGCTGGCTCAATCTCCATTCCTCCGTCTGCCGGGCAGAAGCACATCAGCCACAGCACACACGGACATACCGTAAAACCCGGGAATTTTCAGTTTTGTAATATTTTCGGTATTTCCCAAAATCAACGGTTCGGTAGCGCGAAAATTTCGGTAAACCAGTTTTCCATATCTAGAAATGCATTGTGTACACTGTGTGACATGGCATGGTTGAATTTTAGGAGGACATCAGCCACAGCACACATGTACATGCATTGTACAATATTCATCTGATGCAAAAATTGCCCAGCTGCGCAACTACTTCCTCCGGAACAAACACAAACCGGCTTGGGGTGACTTTTATAGACCTGTCTGTTCTTGTGAAGTGAGCCGGAACCGGACAGACTCCAATGAAGACTCAAACATTGCCAATTTTTGTACAAAAATGTACATGCTTCAAGGAAGTATATCCAGTCATTTGTTAAACTGGTTCTGTTCCTACAAGAACCCAGTTTCTTGATCAGAGTGAAAACTGTCACCAAGTTTTTTTTTGTTTCCGAAGGAAGTATCCTGATTGCTAGCGGGATACTACAGAGAAACTCTTAGATGCTTTCCCCCTGTAGCCATGCACATTACCCACCACAATCCTTCATGCTCTTATTCAGCACCGGCCACGGGGGGAAGGTTAGCAGGGTTGGTAAACTAGAGGACCAGGTCTGAGGTCATACAGCATGACCGGCGGAAGTAGTTCTTGCCACGGGGGGCAAAAATGTACATGCTTCAAGGAAGTATATCCAGTCATTTGTTAAACTGGTTCTGTTCCTACAAGAACCCAGTTTCTTGATCAGAGTGAAAACTGTCACCAAGTTTTTTTTTGTTTCCGAAGGAAGTATCCTGATTGCTAGCGGGATACTACAGAGAAACTCTTAGATGCTTTCCCCCTGTAGCCATGCACATTACCCACCACAATCCTTCATGCTCTTATTCAGCACCGGCCACGGGGGGAAGGTTAGCAGGGTTGGTAAACTAGAGGACCAGGTCTGAGGTCATACAGCATGACCGGCGGAAGTAGTTCTTGCCACGGGGGGGGGGGGGGGGGGGGGGAGGTTAGCAGCAGGGTTGGTAAACTAGATGACCAGGTCTGAGATCATACAGCATGACCGGCGGAAGCAGTTCTTGTCTGGTCCGGCCGTACCCTAGTCTTTCATACAGTTTGTGTATGATATGATGGGCAGCGGTGAACACGCCGCGTTGGTGGCCACACAGTTGATCCAGCCATGGCTTGAACAGCTGTAACGGTTCCGCTGTCCCCGATACAAACTGTTCTATTTCCTCATTTGATGCAAAACCGCCCAGCTGTGTGCTAAGATATCTTGATTGCTACCGGTACGCTATTGAAACACCTTGTTCGTGTACAGCAGCAGCATGCAGTCGGTGATTGACTGCCCATGTATGTACATCCTGTGCTGAAGAAAGCACAAACACGAGGGCTTGGCAGTTGCGTCTTCGCAAACTACTGATTGCTCGTGGCTACAGACAGTGTGATGCAGTTCTTTAGCCGTACACATTGTGCTACAGACTGAGGGTCAGTGGAAAGGAGCGAAGTGATACTGTCTTGAAAAGGGTATAATATAATAATAATAATATGCCTCCTTTCCAATGTGGCTAGGGAGTACACCAATGCCCGTAGGAGAGTGCTTCACACGGAGTCTTGCACGTCCCTGGGGGGAAGTGCTTGGCGAAAACATCCAGTCCAAAACAGAGAACTTCTACATAGCAGCAAAAGATGCTCAGCTAACTTAATGCTCAGCTAACTTGATGCTCAGCTAACTTGATGCTCAGCTAACTTGATGCTCAGCTAACTTGTGAGACAAACTGAAGAGCACAATGTCACATAGTATTCTATTGTGTATCTTGGTCAGAGAATGTAATGGGAGCTATGCATCAAAGATGACCGCCATCTTCATGCGGGGCAATTTGTCCCATATTTGGCAGGCACAACCAGCAGGTTCAGTTCATCTGCGAGCATGACCTCACAGAGTTCATGACCTTTTTATGCAGAGCTGGTTGTCACCATGCGTACACTTATGGAAGGGAAATGATGGATATGTGCCATTGGCTAACCTCATCTGCGCACCACTGACACGCCACACTGGTATCCAGACATTGGGAGCAAGTGCGGGCACTCGAGCAGTCTTGACCTACGCAACCCAACAGGGAATATGCACACATACACACGCACACGCGCGCGCATACACACACACACACACACACACACACACAGATGGAATTTCAGGTCGAATAATCATGTGCACAGACAATGCTCAGAAAGCGACCTGTACAGCGAATACTATGATTTATTTCCCTACAAAATCCACATATCCCCAGACACTGGGGTGAATAACGGAGTGTGGTGGTGGGGCCCATGAAGTTCAGCGACCAGAGGTCTCGGCTTCATAGCTCGATGGACACACCAAAGGGAGATCGGGTAGAGAGGATTAAGTTGAAAAATGCTATGATAGCACTAAAATCTGGGGCTGAAACAATTATACCGAATACTCGAGTACTCACTCGGTTTTTTCAAAAATAATCGTACTCGGAATAAATCAGAGTACTCGTTCAGACATGGTACATGCATTTACTACAGAAATCTGCAGTTTCAGAGCAGCAGTCGGCAGATGTTGATGTGCAGACTGTGTGGTGAACATTTGTTCACGAGTAGAGAGAGCCCAAATGACCCACCAACCTATATACCCGAGAAAAATGACTGCTGCTCGGTTCGATCAGGGTTGTAGCATGTGATTTTAAGGCCGTTGGTGTGCAATTTTTAGGAGATGATAAATACTCGAATACTCGAATATTCGATCGGAGAAAATCAGAGTACTCGAACTCGGGATCTCAGTGCCAACTATCAGCCCTACTAAAATCGCTGCGCTTCCGAATGACTACAAGGTACTAGTAAGATCTATACACAGAAGCCTTGCTTGGTAGTTTAACATGTTTTTCGTTTTTTGAGGAGCACTACGCGTCCTCGCCTTGTAACATGCTGTCAAAATCGAAGGTACTAGTAAGTAGTAATACTGTAGTATGCCCACATTTCCGTAGATTGACAGTGTCAACTGAAGTCAACTGAAGTCAACTGAAGTCAACTGAAGTAAGTAAGGTAGTTATTGCGCTCCCCATCGGACACAGCAAAACGCTGCTGTCGCGGGTCTGCACGCCGGGAGGTACCAGCGAACTTCCTGTCCTCGCTCGTTCCGGAACTGTTGGATTTGCAGTGACATCGAACGAGCATGAAATCTGTGCCCTGGTCCCACTGCCACTGGGTACTGTACGACTCCCGAGCTGTGCGACAGCTTATTTGTGCTTTACTCGATTCGAATACAATCGTGTACTACTGACTAGGCATTGAGTAACGCGATGTGCAAAGTCTGTGCATGTACATCACGGATGACAAAAGAAGTACGGACATTGAAAGCTTTCCACAATTAAATGGTCAGGTAACATTTTTCAAAACACTCGAAGCGCCACCTAACATGCCTCGATCCACTGGATAAGAATGAAAACACACTCAAAACGACGGACAAAAGCGAAATCCTCTTCAACGTTTCGAGCATCCTACGCAAAAGATCATGGCAAACTGGGCGGCTACGCAACCACAATGCGAATATCGGAATGCAGAGGCTGTTTCTTACCCTGGACGCCATGCTTCTGGATGAAAACGACGCTGATCACCAGCAGGAATGTACAAACATGCGACGTGGCTCGCTTCATCATTTTGGCGTTTCTCCCTGCTCAGCGATCGATGACGGAGGAAACACAAGTCGAACCAGCCAAAGTCCGAGTTGGCGGTCGACACCGTCCCACTCGTCTCTGCTTGACCTCCGCGATATTCAATTACAGGCGGTCCCAGCGGCGAAAGCCACGAAGTGCTTCACAATGAACCGAAATGGTGAAACCCGATCCAGCAGCTATTAGTTTCAGAAAAAGGGCTCTACTGCCACTCAACAAAGAGGACTTCGCTACTATCGAAGACTTTGAAGCGCAGAATAGAGATTGGAGTCGTTGTTCGACCTTATCTGGGCGAATTATGGAAAGGGCAGAATCGGGTAGGCCGAAATACGTCTTGCAAGAGCAAAATAGTTTGGGTACTTCTTTGAATCAAGTCGACTTGTACATGCACGACTACACATGACTACACCACGAGTTTTAGCTTGCCAACTATTACTTGCCAAGTAAGGACTCGGCTAGCAGAGGTATGTAACTACACACTACACTGCACTGTCACATGCACAGCCACAGCCTACCTTGTACTTGTAGTAATCATGGTAATATAGCCAGGCTACAGCTAGCTAGTCCTAGCTACATATAGCTGGCATGATTCATGACTTCATTTCAACACCAGACTGACAAGTCTGGCTGGCGCATGGCGGAGTGGCGCGCGCCCAGCCCAACAAAAATGTTCCAGAACCAGAACTGGCAGAAGTCCTGATCAGCATGCTCAGTGGATCTGCATGATTGTATCCCACAGTCACAGTCAGTAGATCCACAGGCACAGGCCAGGGCGCTGGGTGCATATCGGCGGGATTATCGCGGTAGGCTTGTCTATGTCTGACCATGATGTCTGTGTTGGTAGATCTACAACTAACAAGGAGTTACTTTTTTGTTGTGAAATGGGTATGTGTCGGTATATAATCAAGTCAAGACAAGAGCCCAGAACAACACTCAAGATCCCCTGACTTCTTGGACACTGGTTCCGAGTAATGACCATGATTGTAACCATTAAAGGTCGAATTTCAGAATACAAAATCTCTCTATTATTACTACTTCGAAGTAGTAAAGAAAAAGGACCAAGGAAGTACAAGTAACGCTATAAATGTATAATGTCGACTAACACCACCAGTGCCATGTACTAAACAATCAGCTCATGCTAACTTGTACTTCCTTGTTGTCTGATGATTGGTTTTTGCCATGAAACTCTGAGTTACAACAAAAACAGCCCTATATACTTCCTTTTGTGTACCTCTTGCGTACTTCCTTGGTCCTTTTTCTTTTCTATGTATAATTCATTAACAAATTATCCTTGGCTCTCAATCCTAGTCCATCATCACTAGCTACTACACGTTTATACTTATTAGATAAACCTTGTTTTAGTTCACACATGTTGTTGGTTTGACAGCATGAAACAAGGTGGAAGGCACCGTCACGCCACCGTGTTCGGAAATAGTGACCACTACAACCATCCACGGTTGGTAGAGCCCCGGTCCGTCTGAACCGTATGGGTGTTAAACCCGGTTCTGACCCTCACTATGCTAGGGGAGTTTTTTTTATATAAGAGGTTATGCGATACACGTCATTGCCACCCCAAATTCTTCTACATAACTTGTCATAAGGGGTTTCTGTACCTGCTTTGGGCATTTTGCCACCCCAACTGGCTCCTATATAATTATGGCGGATTTGACGTTATCGCATACCTCTATAGACTTCTCCTATTTATATAATAACGTCAGTCGTTTGTACTTGTAACTCGGAACCAGGCAGCAGGTCACTGTAGTCGTGAAATGACTTTCACGACTCCCGGAACAAAGTATAATAATTATGATTTATGACTGTACCAGTGGTTACAGAACGTGCCGACAAGGTTTCCACAAGGAAGGGAACAAGGCCGACGTGGCTACAAACCGTACTTGTGCATGAAATGGTGGACAATCGAAGCAGATCTACATGATAATCTATTGTACTGCCACGAGCCTCCTCTCGATTTGGTTATTCCTCTCTTTCTTTTTTTAGCCGCTGACCGCTGGAACTCAGTTCCGGCATCGGTCCGCCTTGCTGCTTCACCAAGTCAATTTCGTATCGCAATCCTAGATTGGCAAGGGTACCCCGTTACGAAAGGAGACCATAGGTCTGTGGGGACTGCCCTAGAGAAATACGAATAATGCAATACAATATAATGCTAGCTGACAGAATAACAATCATGATGATACACATTGTACACTGTTATTACAGTGATTCAGCTCGTGAGACTCAGAGTTACGAAGAAGCAACTGCTCGTTCTTCTGCCTGTGTAAAGTGAGGGAAGATTTACCAGCTGAGACTAACTGTAATCACACTGCGTTCAAAAGTCGCGTTTGGTAACTGTTAGTGTTACATGAACGTCTACCATCAAGAGTCCATAACCACGTTATGGACTCTTGCTACCATGCATGGTCAACACAATGACGGGCGACGACCCTCGGCCGACCATGCGCTAGCCCAGTACATGTACATGTACTACAAGTCGTGTAGATTTCCGTTTGAATTTCGTCACGCCCAAGTCCGACGAAGTCGAACACACCTTGTTGATCTATCAGTTCACGCAGCACGCATTCCCCCATCCGAACCTCGAACTACAGGTCTCGAACTCCCAGACTCCAGAGCGATTGGACACACACAGCTGGCAGGTAGGTTTACTCGGGCAAGCATCATCGAGCATCGGCAGTACTACAGGTGCTCGCCCAGCCGCACTGCGACGTCGACTGCTGCACTGTAGACCGTACAGACGTCGTGCTGTGCGCGCGTGCTTGCACAGCTGTACCGGAACCAACTTCTTCACCGGTCTGCAGCGCGCAGACGCTCATGAGTCACGACTCAATGCAGCCCAAGAGTCAAGACATTTTGTCGCACAGGGCGAAACATCCATATTTGGATGTGCTCCGCGTGTGCTCCGATCCGCGTAGCTCGGGACCATGAGACACTTGGCCGTGGTCTTTTGTTCTGCATGCAGTCAGACAACATGACAGAACAGTTTCGACTTCAGCCAAAGACAGAGCGGAACGGAGCAGAGCATTATGCCTTTATTATGGGGGATCTCACTGCAAGCCCCAGTCGGCACTCGATAATTATTACATGACCTGTGTCGGTAGACAAGTCACATAACCATTCACACGATCGTAGCTTACACTATCAAAATAGGAGTCCTCCGGCTCCGGCTCGGTAGAGTCAGTGCTCAACGACTATGTTCATGGCACACAAGTCACAGATCTGCAGAGCACCACGAGTCTTCGTAAAAGCTACTAAAAAGCTCTTTGTTACAGCGGATTAATTTATTAGATGCGTGGTGCTCCACGTGTGGCTTGTGCGTTACCCTATACACCATAATGTAGCATTACCTAATACCTATGCCGGCCTATACCAGCCTATACCAGCCTATACCAGCCTATACCAGCCTATACCAGCCTATACCAGCCTATAACAGCCTATACCAGCCTATACCAGCCTATAACAGCCTATACCAGCCTATAACAGCCTATACCAGCCTATACTGCTATAGGGATACTTTCACTACTGTCGTTTTCGGGCTAGCCAGGAAGAGGAGGTGATCACTGCCTTTCTACACATCGAGAGAAACTCTCCAAGATCTCTCTCACCCAGATTAGATACTCAGAAGTATTGAATGCGAATACTGTGGCTTAGGATGGACACCATGATTATTCGGACAACCTTGACATATGTTGCTGAGTTTCACACAATGACTGCCTGCACCGGAGTCTGCTGTCTCTGCAGCATGAAGCTCCATGAGCGTCTACAAATGTAGTGCATAGGTCTCTTTCTTTTTCTTCCCTCTTCACTGCCTTGTTATTGGGAATAAAATCCCGTTTGGATTTGCGAAATAAAACAAAAGAAACAAAACGTCCTCAGAACTCACTTGGCCCGAAGTACTGTAAGTCTGTATACGTCACGGTGACATTGCCACGTGATAATTATGACATTATCACGTGGCAATGTCACCGTGACGTCCGCCTACCCGACATTTGAGCGAACCGGTTGAAAAGCCAAAATTGTGCGTGCGCGCGCCTGTGTGTGTGTGTGTGTGTGTGTATGTGTGTGTGTGGTGTGTGTGTGTGTGTGTGTGTGTGTGTGTGTGTGTGTGTGGTGTGTGTGTGGTGTGTGCGTGTGTTGTGTGTGTGTGTGTGTGTGTGTGTGTGTGTGTGTGTGTGGTGTGTGTGTGTGTGTGTGTGTGTGTGTGTGGTGTGTGCGTGTGTGGTGTATGTGTGTGTGGTGTGTGCGTGTGCGTGTGTGCGTGTGTGTGTGTGTGTGCGTGTGTGGTGTATGTGTGTGTGGTGTGGTGTGTGTGTGTGTGTGTGGTGTGTGCGTGTGTGGCGTGTGTGTGTGTGTGTGTGTGTGTGTGTGTGGTGTGTGTATGTGTGTGTGCGCGCTGGTATATGCTCATTGTCAGTATGAGGAAGCATTGGGTTACATTATAATATGTACGAGTACACGTTTGTTGTATGGTGATTGGCGAGCCACGAAACTCCAGAGTAGCAGCAAGTTTTAGCCGTGTTCCATTCGGCAAACTTTACTTACTTGTGTCATTCATTTTTGGCTCTGCCCTCGCGGTATCGAGCACTTCATTTTCAGCAACTTAGCTTCTGTACAAAGTACATGTACATGTGAATCTTCACCCACATGGCCACAACATCATGTCGAACAATCATCATGGTTATCAGCCTGGTCTATTGTATCAACAAGCGTCTCCACCTACTTTGAGACCACGGTGTTGACGACACGGTGACACTGACCTGTCAGGGAGTGTCCACTGTCCAGCTAGCCAGATAGACACATGTACATTGTACTTGTACATGTATAGGTACATTGTACATCATTGCGGCTTTGGGGCTTATCTCAACTCAAGACCAGCCCTGCAGGCCTGGCTGACCGCCATCCCTATTTTGGCGTCGTTTAGTGTTTTTGTCGTGTCAGCAGTGGACCCATGAAAACGACACACATCAGTAACACAACATTGTCACGGGCGACATGATTGCTGTCTGCCACGCGACTACATGTACATTGACTGTCCAGGTCTAGCCGCCTGCTCGTATCATACCCGCCCTTCCATTCATGCCCGCCCTTCCATTCATACCCGCATACAATACCCTCCCACGGAGATTATACCATCAATATGAGTATACAATCATGTACACGAAATTGATTGTTCCAACTAGGAACACACGCTTCTTGCCGAACTTGACACTTGACTGACTCACGACTGCCATCCAGAGCACACGAGGAGCACGTCGCACCTTCCACTCGAGCTCGGCAAACTCGGCAAACCGAGTGGAAGGTGCGACGTGCTCCTCGTGTGCTCTGGATGGCAGTCGTGAGTCAGTCAAGTGTCTAGTTCGGCAAGAAAGCGTGTGTTCCTAGTTGGAACAATCAACTGTTACTTCATGACTATTACCGCCGAAGTCGCAACTTCTAAGTAATTAGTTAATCATGTACATGTATAGTAATGTGCGTGTCAGTGTCAGTGAGTCGTATGGGGTTTATACGATTCCCTGGTAGTGGTATATCTACCTGTCGTACTTAGCTTACTGCTTGGTCATCATCATCGCGTTCGACGCTTGTTGCCTTCTATTCGCTCTTTCAGCACGTAGAGGTCTACGCACTTCGTTCTGGCTTCTCAGCCATGACCATAGGCATATTGGATGTCTGGTATGCTCTGCATCAATCTTCTTATCTCTCACCGCGGCCGGCTGAGCATCCACTCAACTCTCTACTACAGTAGTATTACTAGCAAGCATATTGAAAAGAGGGAACGGATAGTTCTCTCTCACACCTCACATTTGCAACAGCAAAACCACAGTGCAGGGTCGGCTGCGGACAGCCACATAGTCATTGCAAGACAAAAAGTGACCATGTAGATCTACCATTCCACAGAAATAAGGCAGAGTCTGATTTTAACGACCATACCACTGGTCTTGTCCTGAATGATGCTTCAGCCTCGATACGATGCCAAGAAAGCACGGCTTAGCCTATAGTATAGGGAGCAGCGGGGGATGTGCACATATTAACACAGTCAGCGCGAGAACACCATTGCGCTGTATTTACTTGTCACGACCCACACTGTTACATGTACGAATATGGTTGCTCCCACTGTACAGACAGTGAACACGGTGTAGATTGAAACTACCAGTAGCACCACCACCGTGCATGCACTTGCTAACATTACTATGTTTTTGGTTACAATAACATGGTAACAACGATAACAACTACATACACGGACGCACGCAAGTGTGCACACTGCACAAATACAGACACCAACACTTACTTACACTTACACTTACACATGCCCATTCGACATCGCTGAAGCGATGATAGCGAAAAACGTGCGGCTAGACATAGCAACTTCTGCTGGGAATTACACTATTCAGCAGCTTGCAAGGCTGATGAATTGACCACCATTAATCCACACCTCAGACCTCAGACATGACCATCGCGGAAGCGATGATAGCGAACAGCTATGTTATTAATCCACACACACACACACGCGCGCGCGCGCGCACCATGCCCCCTCCCCCCCCCCCCCCCAACACACACACAAGCGCCCAAACATACCAGCACACTCCCACACCATCGCACACAAAACCATTTCCTCCTTCACTCCCCCCCCCCCCCCCCCCCAAACACACACGCACACACTACGCCTTGGTAGATTCTGCCCGAAACGTATTGCAATTGGCAGAACCATACAAAGCTTTGGCAGGCAGTTCCTTGAGCTCTACTGTACTAGTCTTCTTTTTGCACATACCGAGCATGTAGGAAACAAACCAGAACTTTTGATGCTGCCTCGTTCTCGTTTTCTACCAGCATTACCCACCAAAGCCCCCCCCCCCCCCCCCCCCACACACACACGATCATACAAGTGACATACACAAGTTGAGCATGCTGGTGTGCACATGCCATATCAGCACACAGCCAGTAATACATACTCGTACTGTTATCTGTCAGGCAAGGCACTGTTTTCAACAAACCGAGAGAGAGAAAGAGAGAGAGAGAGAGAGAGAGAGAGAGAGAGAGAGACGTTTGAAAGGAGAACAGGCAGTTCCCGGCAATAGAGCAGATGATTATCATGAAAACAGAAACGTTGGTCATGCACGAAAATACTTCTTTTAGCAATAATAGTAAACGTGATATGTGTATCTAATGGAGTACTTCATTTTGTGTTACAGTTCAACTTGGATCATGAACAACTACTTCTTACTTCTTACCTATAGTTTGTATGTATAGGCAAATACCATTCTTCTACAGAACACCATGATGCATAGCAAAGGATTATGTTACATGCATTACGCCGCACAAGGTGGGAGTCAGTGCACAGCGTCAAGTTGCACACCATGTCACATACACGCATAGCACATACACATGTAGCACACGTGTATTTAGTATCTACTGCTGCAACAATTACAGATGCTTGTATACGAGCAGCAGGGCGAGTGTATTCATCAAGGTGATGATTATCTTGGGTGCATTCACAACAAAATCCGCATGGGTGATGCCAAGAAAACAGTTTGTCTCGTGCTGTATGTGACCGTTTGCATCTTGGCAAGATGCAAACGGTCACATACAGCACGAGACAAACTGTTTACGCTGTGCGTGCGTGCTCATCCCTCGCTCAGGGGATCAGCTTGGAGCACGTCATGCATCCCTGCCGGCGCAGATAACATGAGTTAGGATAGGAGAGACCGTCCAGTCCAGTAATCTACACAGCAGACAGGGCAGAAAGAAACAGACAATGTTACAGGAACACACAATGTTACAGGAACACACAATGTTACAGGACACACACATCGATAATCAGTGTCGCAGGAACTCACACATTGCGTTACAGTCAGTGTTACAGGAACATACGGCCAGGAACACATAAGTTATCAGTGATACAGAAAATCACAGACAAACACTGCCACAGAAACACACAGACCCAGTCTCGTACGTGAACATGCGGGAAAACCAGTGTCGCAGAAACGTTGACCTTCTGTCCAGGCCTTATTCGCAAGAAGAGTGAGAATCAGCTTCCAGTATAGCACCGAAAAATCACATGACGGACATGTGTCTGGGTTAGAGCCCATGACTTGGCGGGGCTTGGGCCCAGATTACATGTACCACCTACGTCAGGTAAATTCAACTTCTGTTAAAGCAGATACAGCAGTGTTGTGGCAAGACACATACCGTATTTTCCCGAATGTAAGTCGCACCTTTTTACACTAAGGCCACCCTTTGTTAATTCATTGTTTAACGTCCTTTTTTTCGCGAAAAGGTACGCGGGAGGGCGAAAAAAAACAAAAGCCCATTCCAAAAACTGGAAACCCCAATCAAACATTTTGACCAGTAAAGCATGTGATATATACAATATTTCTGGGTCTAACGGCACTTGCAGGCATAGAACAACACTCTTTGATGGTACATTGGAGCACATGCCTGATGAATCCAACAAAACAGGTACATAGCATGGAGTTAGCATGTCATGAATTCATTACATCTGGATTTTTACTAGGACACAAACCGTACGATATTTAAAGCCAACAAAAAAAGAAAAAGAACACAAGACAAAGGCATGCCCGGGAGGCAAGATTATAAGTTTAAGGTCATGATCGGCACACTGTGAAACTACACAATCATGTATTTACAACTTCGCATATTATTGGTACTACTACTTTCTTGTTTTTTTTTCCGGTCGGAGGCAAAAAGGTACGCGGGCGCGGACGTTTAACAACGAAAAAAGAAAGGGTGGCCTAAATTTCAAAAACAAAGAAGGGGGGGGTGCGACTTACAATCCAGTGTGACTTCCTACTCATGTGAGTGGCTATCACGCACATCTTCCCGTTTTGGCAGCCATCGGAAGCCATAAGATGTTGAATAAATAAATAAATAATGATACAATTTAGTTCAGACCTTAAAATTTGGGCTGCGACTTATAATCAAGTGTGACTTATAATCATGGAATACGGTAAGTGCGGCCGGTGAGAAGCTGACTTACTGGTCGCTGCACATTGCCGCAGTTACCCTTGCACATACACATGGCAACACCGCCTCGCTTGGTGCAGATCTGACCACGTGGGCATATCACACCGGAGCAGACACCCCCTGGACAAAGTGCAAGACACACGCACACACACACACACACACACACACACACACACACACACACACACACACACACACACACACACACACACACACACATACACACACACACACACACACACGCACCTCAGACCTCACCTCAGACCTGCCCATCGCGGAAGCGATGATAGCGAACAGCTATGTTAGACATAGCAACTTGTGCTGGGATTACACCATTCAACAGCTTGCAAGGCTGATGAATTGACCGCGACTATGTTTAGCCTGGTATCCACCACACAGCTGATTGAAGTGACTTTTTCCGGCCAGTGAATCCCTATTTTTCATTTTTCCATTTTTTCCTTCTTTTTTTTCTTTTTTTCTACACACACACCACACCACATACTCCGGCATACACTGGCTGTTGGTAACCACCCAGGAGAATGAAAGAAAAGTCAGGAAGAGTCCGAGAAAGAAAAGAAAGACGTGTGCGACCATAATCGTCGGGAATTGAACCCGCAACCTCTCGATTGGAAATCGACTGCACACACACACGCACACACACCATTGGACCATTGGACGCCCATCGCCGGAGGCGATGACAGCGATGCTACGCCAGAAGCCATAGCAGCTTGTGCTGGGATTGCACCATTCAACAGCTTGCAAGGCTGAAGAATTGACCGCCACTATTCAGCCTGGTCTGCACCACACAGCTATGAAGTGGCTTGTTCTGGCCAGTGAATCCCTACTTTTTGGTCTTTTTTCATTTTTTTTCCCCGCACACGCACATCACACCACAAACTCCGGCATGCACTGGCTGTTGGTAACCGCCCAGGAGAATGAAAGAAAAGTCAGAAGGAGTCTGAGAAAGAGAAGAAAGACACACACACACGCACACACACACACACACACGCACACACACACACACACAATGGCATTGGTCACCAGTTAGTGTGGCCAGTAAGCATGTGCACAACCACAATGTCACATAGATGGTCAAAATATTATGACTTTCCTTGCACACTCTGCTGAGGTTTCGAAATCGTACTTTCCACGAATCAAAAGAAAACCTCAGTCTGAAAAAATCACCAGCATGGGAATAATGAATGGAATCATTTCCCTAAAATAGCAATGATCCATCATTGTTAGACCATGCGGTGCTAGTATTTCTCTAGGCATACATGTACGTGTAAATACTCGTGCATGGTGATGTTCTTGTATAGGCAGAGCACACAACACTGCTTACGTCCAAAGCGTCGCTTCAGCTTGGTACAAGCCAGACAGCATGAGCCAGGTTGCGCTGCAGTAGCATAGCGAGAACAACCATGTACGGGTGGACACTGGAAATTGGCGCAGGTTGATCGCGTCACGTTACATGTCGGACAGCATTTCTCCACGCCACTACCGCTGCCAAAGTCGTTGTAATGTGCACAGCCAAGATCAGCTGTACAGAGTTCAGGCCGGACGAGCTGTTCCTGTGTCGTTGGCGCCTCCGTCACGACTGGAGGCTGTGTTTGTTCGCGAACCAGTCGTCCTGCGGGTGAGCAAGGGAAACGAAAAGAGAGCACAGTAGTGAGTAAGATGCGTGCACTGTAGTAGCGTGAAGAGGCTTTCGAGCCAGTGAACTTGATCAGGAAATGCACACTCATCTCTATAACACACGTGCTCAAGCGTGCTCAAGCGTGCACACACACACACACACACACACACACATGTGCGCATGCCCCTCCTCCCCCCCCCCCCCCCCCACAGCATACGATCCCGCACATTACACTCAACACTACAACAATGCATTCCTATTACACTGCTATACACTGCTACACACTGCTATACTTACTGCATTCTGACACCGGGTAGCACTTCCCATCAGTGTGACGAAAGTAGGAGGGCAGACAAAGACACTGGGTGATGGGACTCAGGGGACACTTGCCCTCTCCGAACTCCATCTCAACACAGTCGTATTCACATGGATTGAGTGCTGAACCAGCTGCTTCATTCTTTTCCGCAGAGCACGTAGCTGCCCACAATACAAGATGATCAGAGAGATGAAAAAAGTTGGAATTTTTGATGGAGAATGATAGACCGAGCAGACATCGATGGTAAATAGATATAAATACAATGTAGAGAAAAAGAGAGAGAGAAAGAGGGAGTGTGTGTGTGTGCGTGCATACAGTAAAACTAGCCAAGGTGACCACTCGGATAAGGTGACCACCTGTCTCAGAAGACCACTGCAGCCAGGACCAAGGGATGCCATTTCCAGTCAAATGACCCTGGATAAGGAGACCACCTGCTCACAGAGAAAACATTTTGAAGGTCCCTTGAGCAGTCGTCTTAGACAGGTATCACTGTATGTGTGTGTGTGTGTGTGCATGTGTGTGTGTGTGTGTGCGTGCGTGCGTGCGTGTGTGCGTGTGTGTCTGTGTGTGCGTGTACGTGCACGTGTGTGTGTGGGGGGGGGGGGGGGGGGGTGCATGTGCGTGTATTCGTGCATGTGTGTGTGTGTGTGTGTGTGTGTGTGTGTGTGTGTGTGTGTGTGTGTGTGTGTGTGTGTGTGTGTGTGTGTGTGTGTGTGTGTGTGCGTGCGTGTATGCGTGCGCATGTGTGAACCTGTGTGGAATTACACAGGTTGGCAGTTGGAGTGTACATTATGCTGCACAGCTAGTGTCAGTAATGACACAACTATCACATGCACTGGAGTTGATAATGTCCATGCTGTAGCACAGGTGTTCGGTTATGTCTTTGCTACTGCGACACTTACCAACTGTTTCATTATCGGACGGGGAACTTCTGCTCCCTGTACATGTTAACACATGGGCACGCATGCATGCATGCATACACACACAAGCACACACGCACATACCCACACACACACCCACCCCCCCCCCCCCCCCCCCCACACACACACACACGCACGCACGCACGCACACACACATTCATACTTGATGTACTTATATATCTGCAGACAGAATTGTTTTGTCCTTTCGTACTTCAATATCAGAACAACGTTTCAACAATTTCAAATTTGGACTTCACGGAGAATTCCTAAAACGTTTCAACAGCTGTAATTATCCACTAAACCACCAGATAGAGTGTACAATCAGGTCATGTGATCACATTGGACAACCAGGTCATGTGACCAGTGTACAATCAGGTCATGTGACCAGTGTACAATCAGGTCATGTGATCACATTGCACAATCAGGTCATGTGACCAGTGTACAATCAGGTCATGTGACCAGTGTACAATCAAGGCATGTGATCACATTGCACAATCAGGTCATGTGATCACATTGCACAATCAGGTCATGTGACCAGTGTACAATCAGGTCATGTGATCACATTGCACAATCACTTGAATCAGGTCATGTGATCACATTGCACGACATTGACCGACAGTAGACCCAGGTGCTCAAAGTCCGTACACTTTTACAGTGTGTGTTTGTCGAGCTGAAACTCACACTACAGTCCATTTCAAAACTATAGACGCGTACCTAGGCAAAAACCGTTATGCCAGCATCTATACCACATAAAATCTGTGATCACTTTGTGCATAAATTTTTCCAAATTGGGCGTCTGTTATCCAATCCTTTAGAAACTATATGAGAGTAATTGTGGAGCGATCCTGAGCAATATTCCGAAAACTATTCTCAAAAAGTTCCAGCCAAATTTGAAATATTTCAAAAACCCTACGCGTCTATAGTTTTGAAATGCACTGTAGCAATGATCACTTGCCAGAATCCTGCTCGTGGATGGAAGGTATCTTGTCCAAGTTTGTTCTGACGCCAGGCTCGATTGAACCAGGCCATCTTTCGATCCGATCTGTTTCTCTGGAGCTCGCTGATTTTTCATATCAAATTTTGGTGTCGCAGAGGGTGCCCTAAGTTCGTACTGATCAGAGGTGACTCGAAATACACACATATTTCTGCTAATTGCTAACTTGCAATCCCTCGGTTACGACGAAAGCACCGAAGGGATATGTTTGGCATGTGCCTCCACAAGTATTTCTTGCAAAAGCGTAGTTTGTTGCCGAAATGCAAGCTGTGTTTAGTCGGCTCAGAGAAGAAGCAGCTGCGCTGTGAAAACCGCGGGAAAACAGTGGTGGAGATGCCAGGAGTGTCAACCTTTCTGCAAGGATTTGTGGTTCTCTGTAAATTCCTCTCCTCTGGCCATTCTCAGCTCTAAGCTGGCTCTTGATGATTGAGTGAAGGTCTGTTTGACGCTGTGTCCGTTCGAAATCGGTCTTGGCAAAGTTGATTTTTTGCATGAAATGTAACCCAATTTGTATTTCGTATGGACACTCGAAAACCCACTCGCGTGGTATGGGACTTCTGCTTATCGTAGATCCCTGAAAATTGCTACGCGAGGAGAACAAGTATCACACTGTCCCCTCCATAAAATATTTGAGTCGAATACAATAACAGAACATGAAATTATGGGCGTACGAACTTAGGATACCATGCACGGACTTCGAGCACCTGGGTCTACTGACGTCCTTATAGCTCTTTGGTCCTTTTTCTTCATATAAATTAATCTTTAGCTCTCCAGCTGAGTAGAAATACGTTTCTTCACGATTACTAACTCTCAGTACTTTTACCGTCTACACTTCAAAGGTTAGAGGACGGAAAACATGGACTCAGTCACTGTCACCACCAGGCCTTCACCCACAGACCTTCGCTACAGGCCAACGATACTCTAGCCACTGGGCTATGGTGGTCTTGTCCTCCAAACAGAGACCGTTTAACATTTTCTTCAGACTTTGAAACTCACACTTCCTGTGAAACTCCACAGGCTGGTGATGTGACGTGTCTACACTTATCGTCTCATCCACAATACAATCACCATCAAAAAGGGAGGGTGGGTCCCACCACGAAAAGAGAATAAAAACAAACAAAAAAAACAATTTTTTTTTTGCCAGAAACCAGCGAAGACAGCCCTTTAATAGGGTCAAAATGCACCACACATCTTGATGCGACTGATATGTACACCACACCCACACGCATGCACACACACACATGCACGCACACACACCCACGCACACACCCACACACGCACCCACGCACAGACACACACACACACACACACACACACACACACACACACACACACACACACAAACACACACACACACATACACAAACACACACATACACACACACACATACACAAACACACACACACACACACACACACACACACACACACACACACACACACATACACACACACACATGAAGATCGGCATGACCCAAACCTTACTTCTATCCAGTTCGCATGATCCTTCGAAATTGCGACGGTAACCAGGCATACACCGACACCGTACCATATCGCAGGGAAGAGAGCATTGTCCGGCCGGGTTAGAGTACGACCTTCCGCACACTTCAAACCAATTCTCTGTGCGTGGCCGGCCATTGCACTCAGGACGACGATCATTGGTAATACCACACGTCTCACCAAGGCTCGGGTTGGCATTGCCTGAGGTCAACAAAAGAATTAGGAAAGTGGCGCATATTTAGAAGGAGAACAATACATGGGAAGGACCGCTCCATTTATCTCTCTGCCTCCTCTCTCTCTCTCTCTCTCTCTCTCTCTCTCTCTCTCTCTCTCTCTCTCTCTCTCTCTCTCTCTCTCTCTCTCTCTCTCTCTCTCTCTCTCTCTCTCTCTCTCTCTCTCTCTCTCTTCTCTCTCTCTCTCTCTCTCTCTCTCTCTCTCTCTCTCTCTCTCTCTCTCTCTCTCCTAGATTAACAACGATTGCTGGTCTGTCTGCCTGACTATCCGCCTGTCGCCCTTTCCGTATGTTTGCTTGTGTTTTGTTTTTCTATCTCACACAACACTATGCTGTGGTTGGTTAGACAGTTTAGACACAGTTGTGAGAATGACTCCACAAATTCCTGACAACACAACGTTCTTGCACTCACTTTTACAAGACTCTTCCCGCACACACGGTGCGTTCGGCGAGTCCTCGATACGCACAAACCCTGCCATGCACACACAACCTGGCGCTGTGGGACACTCGTCATGGGTGCTGTTACAGGTCACTGAGCACTGTGGTGCAGTGGCGCTCCATTTCTGGTTCACAGGGCATCCTGTACGAGAAAGAAACAGAGACAGAGAGGTAGAGATAGAGATAGAGGTAGAGATAGAGATAGATAGATAGATAGATAGAGAGAGAGAGAGAGAGAGAGAGAGAGAGAGAGAGAGAGATAGAGATAGAGATAGAGATAGAGATAGAGAGAGAGAGAGAGAGAGAGAGAGATAGATAGATAGAGAGAGAGAGAGAGAGAGAGAGAGAGAGAGAGAGAGAGAGAGAGAGAGAGAGAGAGAAAGGGGGGGGGGGAGAGGAGTCCTTTTGGGAATACAATGTAAAGCATACACATGTAATCTGAAAATCAACACGTCGAAGAGGATGAGTAATTCATTGTAGCTCTGAGTTTCACGCACGACGCGATCATCAGACATTGACCATCCGATAATCTCACAATCTGATGATTGCTTTAAAAATAGGCATGATATTTGAGTTAAAGTGTATTTCAAACCGCACCCCCTCCCTCTCTCTCTCTCTCCTGTTACATGTGTTCTTTTATAATAATAATAGTTACAGTTCGCATGTCACTCATGGATGGATCCATGGGCTTAACACATCCGTCAACGAAATCCAGGCAGAAGAGCCAACAAAAGGCATCTCATTATTGTTAGAACGTACCGCAGTAAGAATAACTACGCAAGCGCTGTTTTCTAAATACTTACTGAATTGTTCATGGCGTTGAGCACATCCCCCTGGACACAGTGGACACGGTGCAGCACCTTGCCTCGTGCCGTTCTCAATACGCACCAGTGTGAACGTCACAGATCCGAATGTGCCATTGAAACCCAGCAGCGACGAGGTGAGCAACGTGCTATCCTCACTGTCAGCACACAAAGACACACACAGCACAAATTGTAGGTGAACACATGGTGTGTAGTTGGGGTATGAATACAATCATACACATACATGTCATGTGACGTCATGTCCTGAACATTTCCGTTACAGGTTATATATCGACTCCAGCATGGAGGGGCTGGCAGACATGGACAAGTTGGCTGAAGTACTGCGTGCGGTAACGTCTTAGCGAGATATCCTGGACTTGTCTCGGAGCAAGTTGTCACAGTTGTGCCAGTGCACATTATACACATATGCACAAACACAACCATAATACGCACATTCATGCATGTGTGCATGTACATGAGACACAGACCCCCCCCCCCCCCCACACACACACACAGGCGCGCGCGCGCACACACACACACACACACACACACACACACACACACACACACACACACACACACACATACGGATGCACGTGCCACAGCTTACGATATCGGTGCAACCGGAGAGAACCCGTAATTGCCTTTCCGTGTGAATGTTCGCGCATTGTTCACTCCAGCATCCCAGGGATGGAGAAGGAACGTGGCGGACTCTACCCAGGAGTCGCCACGGCAGAGATTAGCGCTATCCAAACCAACAAACCAGTCCGGAGATGGATTCATGGGGGTAATCGAGGACACCACAGGGTGATTTCTGCATGCAAGATACAGAAGAATAGAAGAGTGGATTGGTGATTACGTGAAGTCAGTGATACCAGTACCTTAAGTCCTTGCTCATAACATAGTGTGTGGTGCGCCCTGTATGCACAGTATGGGGTGGACCATGTACATGTATGCACAATACAGGGTGGGCCCTGTATGCACAATACAGGGTGGACCATGTACATGTATGCACAATATGGGGTGGGCCATGTATGCACAATACAGGGTGGGCCCTGTATGCACAATACAGGGTGGGCCCTGTATGCACAATACAGGGTGGGCCCTGTATGCACAATACAGGGTGGACCATGTACATGCATGCACAATGCACAATATGGGCTGGGCTATGTATGCACAATATGGGGTGGGCCATGTATATACAATATGGGGTGGGCCATGTATGCACAATGCACAATATGGGCTGGGCTATGTACCGTAATGTCGCGTGCATAAGCCGGATTTGTGCATAAGCCTGTCTCGTGTAGAAGCATGAAATCTGCAACAGCTTTTCGCGTACAAGCCTGTCGCATGCATAAGCCGGGCCAGTACACGAGACGCGCCACGTGTCGCGTGCGTAAGCCGGGCTACTACGCAAGACTGGTGAGCGCGCCTTTTACATGTTCATGTTTGCATGGTACCGTACACTTGCGAAAAAAAAGAAAAAAAATCCCGTTGGAAAATGTTGGTTTTGACGTCCAAAAGTCAGCAGTTTGCGCATACAAGCCTGGTCATTGAGTGGTGCTTGTCAT